GTTTTAGTTATATGATGCACGATCATTTCTAATGAAGGAGCTATGTAGTGCCATGCACTTATCGAATATGGACTTATACTTGTCGCATACGACATGAAAATGTCTGATTGATATAATATTTTAAGAAGTGAGATATGCATATGACACGGGTGTTGGACACATGTCTTAATTTAATGAATTAAAAATTTCTAAAAAATTACTTTTAAAACTAATATTAAAAAATATATATTTTTTAATGTAAAATTTATGGAAGATATGCATGCACACCACTCATTTTAGATGTATTTATTTATATTGTTTAAATTTGTGCAATTTGAGCCACACCCCAGTGCAGTTATGAAGAAAAATGATTTGAGGCATAGACTAGCGGCTCGGGCAAGGGATATGCCTCACATTGGTTGATGCGCAACCTCAATTTTGCTAAGAGGCTCCGCTCCTGCGCTTAGTTTTTTTTTTCTCCAATATTAGATGGTCCAAATACAAATAGAGATGTGCAAGAACTCTCCTCTCTCTAATCAAGCTTCCCAACATCTCCTGTTGCTTTTTACTACCTGTATCACCACCACTGCATCTGCCGTTAGATCATCGTTGCTGCTTTTCGCTAGCAGCGCCATCGTTGTTTGTTTCTTTCATTACAACAATCGCCCCCTTCTGTTGTTTATAGCCGCCTATTGCTCCTGTTTCCATCGTTGTTTATTACTATTGTTGCTACCACCATCGTCAACAGCTATTGCTGCCTCCATCATTGCTTGTTTCTTTGACTTTTGATTATTTATTTTACACGAGGCTCTTCAGTTGGGCAGAAGATTGGTCCAGCCTCCTTGCTGGACAAGACTGACCATGTTTCATTAGGGGGGGGGGGGGTTTGCCCCCCCCTTTTCCGCCCCTACCTTCCCTATTTTTCCACAATTTCCCTTCCCAATCTATGAATTCCTAAGCACGCTTCATTTCAACTTTTCTTCTTTTCTATCCCCTATTCTTTATTTCTTACCTATTCTTCTACTTGCCTAGTCTGTCTATTAATTTCTCTTATTTATAGATGTTGTTTGTGGAGGGCTAATATGTTTTGGATGATTCCATATTTCTATTTGCTGCCTTTGATACTTTCTTCCTGCCGGTCGTTGCGTTATATCTTTGACTTCAACATTGTCGCAGTCACCCGCCCGTGCTTTCAAACTACCGCGGATCCCGTCGGCTTCTCTCAGCAACTGTCACACTCTCTCTTCCCGACACCTACAAGCTAGTCGTCCACTTTTCTGCGCCTTCCTTGCCCATCACCGACCACTCCTGCCTCTTCCAGTAGGTCACTGATCCCTCAAGCTTCTCCCAATAGCCACCGTACTCCCTGCCCGTCTCCTCCCAGTCGGTCGCTACATTCCAGGCTCCTTCAACAGGCCACCGATCACCTTTCCTGTGCCTCCAGCAGATTGCCTGACACCTGCTATCCCTCCAACACCCCACCACTTGCTGCTAGCTATCAGTCAGTCCTCCAGCAGCTCCCTCCACTGGCTGGTTCTGTCACATTTGAAACAGTAGGGTTTCTCAATCTTTGATTAAAATTACTTTCCAAATTCTGTTATTACCCCAATAAACAGAAAAAAAATGTAGCGTGATTTAAAGGTTCATTCTTAGGGCAACTTTCAACATCATGACCAAATGAAGGGCATGATTTGCAAAATTAGATTTCCATTCATAAACAACTTGTTGTTGAATATCATGCCCATTTAGATTGAGAGTAATAAATTCAGGAAACATAAAATCAACATTGACTTGTATATTAGTGCGAGCATAGGTCGATCTTGAACATTTTGCTGTTAAAGAATCAACAACAAGAGGTATGCCTAATTTACTAGTAATCATAGAGATTCCGTTAACGGACCAACAACATAAAGGTAAATTAGGCAATCAAACCCATAGAGGAATATCTTTAAATTTTTCCTCAATGGGCTTATGATATGTTGATAATTTGGCTATGGATGTTATTTGTATTTTTGTGTTTTATATAATAAATTATACTTTGAGGAAGGTTTTATACTATTTTTGTATGTTCTAGTAGGAAAGGGGACAAGCGAGAATCAAATTGTAGGAGTAAATGTTGTGTCTGGCACCTAGGCGTCGAACCAGTGGCGCCTAGGCGCCAGTCTCTTCCTAAATGAAACACAAACTTGAGAAGACAGAAAGGTGGCGCCGCATAAGCGCCTAAGCGCTGCCACAGACACCTAAGCACCACAATAGTGGCGCCATGGCGCTGGTCTCTCATGAAAAGTTCTTCAAATGAGTGGTGCCTAGGCGTCAGAACCCTAAATTTGATAGTTTTGGCAGTTCTAATTTGAATGAAAGGGAAGAAATATTAAATGCATAAAGATGAATATATGGGGGGATTTTTCACCATTTTTCTTCTGGCAGTGCTAGAGGGAGAATTCTGGAGAAGAATACCACACAAGTTGCAAGGAGATTAAGAGAGAAGAAAAGAGAGTGTTTGTGAGGATTGAGAGACTTTATTGCTTACTATTGAAGACATCTTCATCTTGCTTTATTGTGAAGGAGATAAGTACAATTAAGTTGTATTTTCTTTATGATTTTTTTGGAAAGATTGTTTTTTTTGTTTATTCATACCACTAAGTTGGTTTTGATGAAAATTGCCATGAATAGTGAGTAGTTTACTTGCTTCGTTATTTAATTATGATGGTGATTGGATAGGACTAAGAGTTTGAATTTGTTTGACTTGATTTGTTTCAGAGCGTGTTGTGTTAACTTGTGAACTTAATTTACCTTCTGCCTGGCCATTGGATTGTTAAAACCTTTAGTGAATGCTGAGATTTGGAAGGATTCTTTATGGAACAAAAAAGTTAACCATTTAAACTTAATGGAATATGGATTTAAGCAATCTTTGGGAGATATTTTCTTATGGGTTGATCAAGAGTTTTAGAGAACTGAGATTGAGATCGCTAATTTTCTTTAGTCCACCAGAAGGGGATAAGGAAAAATTTTTCTCTTGCTTGACACTATTTTTGAATCTACTCTTTAATTCTATCCATTACTTGATTAATTAAAGAGAGCAATTTTTAACACTTGAATTTTCTAAAAGAATCTTTTTGCTTGCTAGGATAGCATTGCAAATTATACTCTTCATGCTTAAGCTGAGAATCGTAGGCTAGACATTTCCTTAGAATTTATCTCATTCCTTGTGGGATCGACAACTAGACTCAAACCCTGATATTATTGATACGCCACCATACTTGCATGAGCAGCTCGTTCTTTGTAGCACTCATGCATTCCATGTTTTTGATTGCGGCGGTTAGGCGTCGGTGGTAGCGCTTAAGCGCCCATGATCGGCACCACTTTTCGGTCTTCTCGAGTTTGTGCTTTATTTAGGAAGAGACTGGTGCCTAGGCACCATTGATTTGGCGTCTAGGCTCTCAACACAACATTTGCTTCTTCTTTTCCTACAATTCGATCCGGTTCGATTCCCGTTCGCCCCCTTTCTTGCTACAATTTACAAAAACAACATAAAAACTTCGTAAAATGAATTCATATAAAATACAAAAATACAAATAACATCCATGGCCAAATTATCAACATATCAGCTTAAAATCAGAAGACCTCTTGAGGAAAAGCAGTTTACCATAGATGAACCATGGAGCACTAGACTGAACCATTTCCACATATTCCTCTAAAGAGCCTTTGAGTTTCTAGATTTTACCAAACATTTGCAAAAGATTTTTGTAGAAAGGACCTTTCCCCAAAGAGTAACCAACAAGAGCCAAACTCTATTGTTTAGATCCCTCTTGAATTTCCTCATTCGAGAAAGAGAATTTATCTCCCAACTCCCAAGTAAGGACAGTAAGATAAATTAAAACAAGAAGCATTAGAGTTATAATTAGAAACCGAATTCCTCTAGTTCAAGGACAGATAATGCCCTTGAGAAAAAAAATTGAAGAGGGGAGAGGAAGAAAAGAGCTATGATCCATAAAGAAAAAAAATCCAAGAAAGCAAAATAAACTTGAAAACAAAAAGAAAAAAAGAAAACCTAGAAGAGAACGAAGAAAAACAAATAAGAAAGCAAATAACCAGATCAAGGGAAGAAAACACCTATAAACAAAACCCTAAACACTCTCGAGTCTCCAGAAACTTCAGAGAAAACAAAAGATCCACAAAGAAACCCTAAACACACTACACATAAGAGGGAAAATTCTGAAAAGGAAGAAACATTAAGAAAGAGATAGTGAGTTTGATTGAAGGACGCGATTGGTTCATTTTTATAACCAACTTTTGCAGAAATATTTATAATATTCATTTCACGGCTGGATACCAAAACTCAGCATTAGTAATGCTGATAACAAGCCGAGTTCCAGTGAGTTTGTTTCTTCTCTAGATCAATTTAATTCTGAATGATGCTAGCTCAACTCTAAATGATCCAATTTCAGGTCCTCTTGAAATCAATTTTAATTTGGGCTTGGAAGTGAGTGCTTATTTGGATCACATTTTTATTGTTTTTAAAAACCTATTTATTTATCATGTTATTTTATATGTTTTTATCTTTTATTTCTAAACATAAATTATCGTATTTTAAAAACGCTCAAAATAATTGTTTAATTAGGTGTTAATTGACACATATTGTTAACAAACTAATCTTAGAAAGTCCATCTTATTCATGTTGAAATCATTTATGCTCTTATTGAGTGATTGGATTGCCTAACATTCCTTAAATTTCACTACTTTTCCATGCCTCCATATTGATACACCTCATTTTGTGAAATTACTTTAGCTGCATTTTGTTCATCACTTCATATCTACTTCATTGAGATGATTTCTCAAAGTAATCTTTACTTCCTTCAACTCTATAACAAATAATGAATTAAAGCTAACTAATCGAATGATATTGAATGTATTATTTCATCTTCATCTGAAAGCTCGGTATGTTCTTCTTACATCTGAACCAAAAAAAAAAAAAAAAAAAAGAAAATTTATCTGAGAATTCTTTGCTACGAAATTTTCAGGTATGAAGTCCCATACAGCGAGCATTGCAGCTTTACAGAGCTAAAAGAATTTGTTCGATTTATATCCCCTGAGAACATAATCCCGAGCGTGAACAATGACGGCCCTGAATCTGTCGATACTATGTTGGCTCTCCTCTTGTCTGATTCATAGTAAGCAATCATCTCCCCAGCCTAAACCTCTCCTTGCTTCCTTTCATTACATGATTGGCGGATCTCCCAAAAGAACAAACAAGCTTTGGTTTTTGTGCAAATTTGCCAGAATAGAATTTAGGGGGTTCGCTTGTCTGAATAACAAGTTAGTGGTTTCTGAGTAATATTTATAAGTGAACTCTTATGTGGAGGAATTTGGGGGAAATTATTTTTAAACACTCTAAACACAAAAAAAATGTTATTTTGAGTGTTTTCAAAAATATGTTAATTTGTTTTTAAAAATAAAAAATACACATAATAAACATGTTTTTAAAAATAAAAAAATAACAAAAATGAAAAAAAAATAAATACAAATAAATCCTAATTATTGGAGCAGTTAGATGAAAAAAAAAAATACAAATAAATCCTAATTATTGGAGCAGTTAGATTAATGTATTGAGAATGGGCATTTCTTAAAAACTTTGCTATTTATAATGTCGATTTCTCATTGTTTGATTGAGTGCATAAAATGTGACCGATATATGGTAATTGGGATTAAGTATATATCATATAAATTTTATGTATTATTAAATATATTCACATGAAAAAAATACTAGTTGGAATAAAATATTGAAATTAAAAATGAAAATAAATATTGATTAAATGTTTAATTTAATTTTCCAAAATTCAATAATGTTATGTGATTAGAAATGAACCAACATGTCCATGTAATGCATTCGTAAGTTAGATGCCAGACATGTAGACGTAATTCACCCAAAAAATTTATAATAAAATTAATTTAAATAACCTCATCAAGAAAAATTTCTAGCTTCCTTATTGATCGTCAATACATTTGGAATCAAATAAATAATTCTCATTCAAGTTTTATATATATATGTATATATATTTTATTTCTATCAAACTTTTTTGGTGCATTACAATTGCACTCGATTATGAATCAGGAAAGATAAACGACCTTTGCTTAAATTCAACCACATTATAATTAACGCAATGTGAAAAGATACTAGTTAATTCTTTTATAATGTTTAAATAAAATAATAATATCTATTTATCATGAGAAAATAATTTATTCAAATAAAAACTTGGGACAAATATTCAAATCTCAAAGAGCTCAATTACTTAAAGGCTTTGAAAATTGATAGTTGAAACGAGCATCTTGATAAGATGAATCAAATTACGTGAAGAATGCGTTCATTTGAGTTTGATTGGACCTAGAGCAAGTACTTAGAAGCGTGTTTGAGAACTACCATCTCACAGAAGTTGTTGCACAGAGTTGCTGCGGAGAAGCTGACTGTCTATTTGTTTTTGCTATTTTGCAGCTGTTGTGATGTAGCTGTTTCTGAAGAAATGATCTTTCTGCTTATGTAGTATAGTTCTGCTTGTAATATAACCAATGCTGCTCGCACATTTCATATTTGAAAATAAGTATCCAGTTTGAATGTATAAAATAAAAACTAACACCTCACAAAACAATGAATAACACAAAAATCAAAATTAAAAATAAGGCTATTAAAATAACAATTAATAATATCATAATATTATTTTTAAAATAAAGTTGGTCAGTGTCACGAGATAAACCAAGACCACCAGCAATATCCACACACACACCATCATGTCACCACCACCATATCACCATAAAAAACAACCACTAGCATCCACACACATGCCACCATGTCACTAACACCATATCACCATAAAAACTACCACACACACACCACCATGTCACCACCACTATGTCAACATAAAAACTACTAACAACTTCCACACACACACACACACCAACACCATATCACCACTGTTATATCACAATAAAACTACCACCAGCACACTCAACCAACATCACCACCAACAACACCACCATCATGACACCACCACCAACAATACCACCAACATGACACAACACCAACATGACACAACATCATCACAAAAAGTACCACCATCGTGGCACAAAAGCATTACCCACTCCACCACTACTAACATCACTACCAAAATAGTTTTGCATAATATAATAAAGAGGGCAACCACCTACAAGAACCAATCGACAGGTAGAGCAGCAAGCCTGCTTTAATCGAACCAAAAATAAAATAAGGGAAGATCCCCAAACAATTTCGCCATATAGCAAAGAGCACAAGATATCACAACGAAGCTCACAAAGCCCTTCCAGCAAACAGAGGCCAAAGCCATAAATCTTAAAGGCCGCTCAAGCAACAAAAAAAACAAAAAAATAGAAACCACAGATACACCAAAGCCAAAAATTGCAGGAAGCAAGCCCCACAATGAATAACTCAAGCCATAACCTAGAATATCAATGACAATAATATCGAGTAGAGGATACCCTAAGGGAAAATGGGACAGTGCCACCTGAACTAAATACCATAGAGAAGAAAGGAAGGAAGGAGAAGAGAGAAGCCACCGGAACAGCCGACCAAAGTTATAAGGGAGTGGAGGAGGAGCTAGGGCGGACAATCACGAGAGAAGGAGCTGGGGCACGACAGTAACGGGGCATCGAAATAATCTTTCACAAACAAAACGCGGGGTGCATGGCCTAACCCGCCGTCTGTGTTTTATCAAATTATTGAAATAAGCTGCAGCAAAATTTTTTTTAAACACACCAAACTGCAATTTGAAACCGCATCGCAGCTAAAAAACTGCCCTAAACGCACTCTTAATTAAATACATAGCTAATTTTGCAAACTTTGATAGCCTGCTAAAATACAATAGCAGCACTCTTTCAATGATTATTTTAGTTGCCGGGTTATAAGAAATTTAAACATACCAGTGCATTTCCCCGCACGCCTTTCATTAATTACTTAAATTTTTGGTCAAATTCAGTTATCATCTTCGTCCTTTCCACCTCCACATGTCACGCTTGAATGCTCTTTCTCCTAATGAAAACGAAAAAAATAAGAAAGAAGATGAATATAAAGAACAAAAGCTACAGCAATTTTTCTGCAAATAAAATTTGACCTGCCAAAACTGACGCCATACGTTTTTCGTTTCTTTGTTCTTAATAATGGTAGAATGATATTACAGATGACCAGCACTTGGAAAATCGTAACTTAATTTAATAGAATCAGAAGAAGATTGTTTGATCTGTTAACCGTTTCATGTCACTGAAGTCGAATTTGATGAGTTTAATTAAACCTCAGATAACTTGGCCTATCGTTGCAGAAGTCCGTGCTCGGAGGACAGATTTGTAAACTGCTTAGATGTAGAATGAAATTAGTATTTTTGTTTTTGCTCTGAGAGAAATTACAGAAAAATATTTTTCAAAAGATAAGAGAGTAGAAGAGAAATGGATGTAAGATAAGAGAGATTTCAGAGATTATCTATTTAACTCGAGCCTCCGGAAGGCCATATATTGGGTTCATTGGAGATTTTCCGAGCTACAAAGCTTTTTTAGAGGGGGGAGAGAGAGAGATCCCCAAAAATCCTAGAAATCACGAGAAATGAGGGGCTCTCTCTCCTAGCTCAACTTCCTTTTATATAAAAGAAGAAAAATAAAAAAATATATATATATCTTAAGTATTGCACGACTCCCATTCATGACGTCGTGATGAAAAGACTGTGACGTGGATGTCCGGCAATGCTTTTAAAGATGAACGGGTCCGGGTTCTTGCTGGTAATAATGATAATCTCTAGTAATTATGTCTCTTTAACCAGGCTAGGATGGCTCTCAATTGGTGAAAGAGATGAGTTTAACCACTTTGACAAATGAGTTCAGTTCAATCGCTTCGGCAGATGGACCCAGTTCAGCCACTTTGACAGGTGGGTTCAATTCAACCACTTTAGCAGAAAAACTTTATTTAGCCACTTTGGTAGGTGGGCTTCAAAATACGTAAACAGAATACAATTGTCGTGATGAAAAGACTGTGACGTGGATGTCCGACAGTGCTTTTAAAGATGAACGGACCCCGGTTCTTGCTGGTAATGATGACAATCTCTAGTAATTATGTCTCTTTAACCAGGCTAG